CTACCCCTCTACTTTGCTCTTGTGAGACCTCACTTGGAGTATTGTGTGCAGTTCTGGTGTCCTCAACACAAAAAGGACATGGAACTGTTGGAACAAGTCCAGAGGAGGGCCGTGAGGATGATCAGGGGCCTGGAGCAGCTCTCATATGAAGACAGGCTGAGAAAGTTGGGGCTGTTCAGCCTGGAGAAGAGAAGGCTGCATGGAGACCTCATAGCAGCATTCCAGTATCTGAAGGGGGCCTACAGGGATGCTGGGGAGGGACTCTTCATTAGGGACTGTTGTGACAGACAGGTCAAGGGGTAATGTATAAGCGGCGAGGAGAAGCAGACAGGCCAACCCAATATGGGTGATAAGCAACTTCTACCTTATTTGTGACGCAGTTCACACATATATAGGAGTGGTATTCAGCCAGTCCTTCTTGGCATGACAGTATTGGTTAGCCCCCACAGCCTCCTCCACATTCTCCTCCCAGGTCCGGTCTCCAGCCACCTGTGGGGGCCACCCCCTGCCTTGCTTGCACAGTCCTCCAGAACTCTATGCTCCTGATCTTGGAGTCATTCTGCAACAGTAATGGGCTCAAACTTAAACAGGGGAAGTTTAGACTGGATATAAGGAGGAAGTTCTTTACTGTGAGGGTGGTGAGGCACTGGAATGGGTTGCCCAGGGAGGTTGTGAATGCTCCATCCCTGGCAGTGTTCAAGGGCAGGTTGGACAAAGCCTTGTCTGAGATGGTTTAGTGTGAGGTGTCCCTGCCCATGGCAGGGGGGTTGGAACTGGATGATCTTAAGGTTCCTTCCAACCCTAACTATTCTATGATTCTAGTCTATGATTCTATGATTCTATGATATAAACCAGTTTGGTTCAAGAGGCATTAGCTGTTCTCCTTTAGGTGTTTTAAAATGTGATGCAAGCAATAACTTTTAATTATTCACAAATTATAACACAAATATGATCGTCATAAAGCTGTGGCTTAGCCACATATCTTATGGACAATATTTCTCTAATAATCTATGGTTCATTAATATCAGGCATAACTCACATCCCCTGTTCAGTGTGATTCAGGTTTTTTGTTGGAATACATTTTGCCATGACTTCCTCATGACTTTCTTAAAAGCACAAACTTTAATAACAAAATCCAGGCTATATCATATTTCTAAAGTATGACTGTTCCTTCTAGTGAAACAAATGTGGATCTACATTGAATTACAGATGTAGCAAAGTGTTTTCTGATGCAATTGACATTGCATGTGCTTTGTTTGTAGTGTCGTGCCACATGATCATAAAGCAAGCACTAACCAAAAACTATGGAAGACTAGCAATTTGGTAAAGTTTGGCAAAATAGCAAGGTGCGTATGTTAACTACAGCTGTGCTGAATCCTTTGTCTTCAGTCACTCTCAATGTTTCCCTGTTTTGAGGCTCCTCATTTTCTAAAGGAGAAGGCAAACCAGTGGCTAGAGTATAATGATCTGTGTTTGTTCCCATACAGAAACAGACTATATTCCCTGTTGTGCACAACCATTTCTTACAGTGTTTTAGAATTCAAAGACTGACATATATGCATGCATACTTGCATTTATGTATACCCACATAAGCCTCCCTGCCTTTGCTTTTTTGGTTGTTTGCTTGGGCTTGTTTGTTTTTGTTCTGGTTTTAGGTTGTTTGGTTGGGTTTTTTTCCCTCTTAAATCAAGACTGTTGTTAACATACCATGCAGTTTATGAAGAACCAAATTCTGAACTTTTCAGATTAGCTAGGAGGAGGTAACGGAAAGCAAGATCAGTCATAGAATGCCTCAGGCTCAATTGTAAGGTTGTCTTTGGGACTTCGATAATTTAAGTGCTTAATGTATCTATAGGCTCCTTTTAAAAGAGGTAGGTATTCATTTCTTTTGTAATAGATTGAAATACAAGTCAATCTATTTCTACAGATGAAGGGCTATCGTTGTGACTTCTAACTTACATTTTCTTTATGTAGTCTATGTTGGTAGTGGGATCTGAAGAAAATCTGGCTGCTATACTTGCAGATTTTGGATTTGAAAGTGAACAGGGGAACAACACATTGATTTGCAGCATGCATTATAGGGAATGCTATTGCTGGTATCAGGTTGACCCACAGTCCACTCCAGCAGGAAGTCTTGTTCTAGTATATTAATGCTGTCAGAATTCTTTATTTTTTAAATAGAAACATAGAACACCATGCACAGCCCACAGTAAAAGCAGTTAAACTCTACCTATAATGCAGCTTGAAGCATGGTTTGACTCTAAACTCCCATCACTGTCATTTCTGCAGACACTAACGGGTTTAGTGTCAGATGCCTCTGATAGAAAGGAAGAACAGAAAAGGATTTTGAAGGAAAATGTGTTCCATCAGAAAGGTTTAACAGCAATATGCCAAGCCACAATTTAGGGGAATTTTCATTGTCAGTTCAGACTATCTCAAAATATTAACAATTGACTTGGAGGGGAGAGGAGTGCAACAGTTAAATAAGTTGCTCTGCAGTAAAACAGTAATTTTCATGAAACTCAGTCACGTTCTTTACATTTGCCACTCATGTCCAGTATTAGCAAAAAATGATGCCAGTCTTTGTAGAGAGGAAAAGACATTGAATTCCTTCCTCTTTAATAATTTATACGAGGGTGTCAAAAGAGCTGTGAATAAATTGAAAGCAGAGTTGATTCTCAATATTTAAAATTTTATGAATATTCATCTTTCACTTTTACTTGTCTCCAATCCACCACAAACGCAAAGGACAACTGTTCAAAATGTTTCCCATGCTGGATCTAGTTAAATGCTTCTCTTCACCCCCATGGCAGGCGGTTGTAACTAATTGATCTTAAGGTCCTTTCCCACCCTAACTGTTCTGTGATTCTATGATTCTATTAGTTTTCAACTGTGCAAATATTACTCTGGACCCCTGTTTACTTTATATCTGTACATAAAGCATACTGTTGAAATTCTCATTCATTACAATCTGATTTTTGGATTAAAAGTTTACTGAAAAAATATACTATATTACAGACCATTTATTGCATTGCTATTAATCCTTCAGCATTCCATAAGAGCATAAAAATACTCTGATACTGGTGAAATATTCAGAAAAAAAATCTGAAGAAACACACTTTCTAATGGAATAATAGCTGTGTTTGGACAATTGCAAATATGAGAATATTTTGCCCCCAAGCACATTTTGTCTGCATACATTTTTGCATCCATGAGGGAAATGTATAAAGAGACAGGCAAAACAGATTGCTTCTTCACCAATAAATTCATCCTGAGTTTTATCTTGGCATTAGGATGTTGCTTTGCTTTATAATACAATATTCTCTCTGAAGGGGAAGAAATGAAAAGGAAGTCAAATTCATCCAGTGGCTCCAGGGGGTGTTATTTGCAGTTTTCTAATAAATCAGTACCTCTCTTAATAGCAAGTATCCTGAACAGATACATAAGAAATGTACTGTCATACAACTGAGATAGATAGGACCCTGTTGGTACACACTCAAAAGCTACTGATGTGCAGTTCTAATGAAGAGCGGGAAGCAATGACCAGGTAAAACCAGTACATATCTATGAGTGTGTTTGCGCAACCACATCCAGTCTCTTGCCAGCAGCACCTGAGTATGAATCTCATGTTTCACAGGTCGGCCAAACACTCAGCACTATTTCCAGGCAGGGCGGTTTGTTTGGAGCATTATCAAAGAAATGTCAAGCTATGAAGTGGTGAGAAGTATCAGGCCCACACATTACCCAGTATATAGCCCAATGTGCAGCATATGTGCTGTTCATAGGCTTTTCCCTGAGAACAGTGTTTGTGACAATGTAGTGGGACTGGAGTTCACTGATAGTGTTGTACTTCAATGACAGTCTCTAACACAGTAAAACAGGCTCTTTAGGATTTCAGGATCAAGACTAGATTGATTGTGTAAGGTGTGCTACAAAGAAAAAAAACCACAAACAAACAAAACAGAAAACCGACACTTCTGAGCGATCACAAAGCAATCCAGAAAAAAGCAAGCCCATTAACAGAGAGGCAATGCCCTCACTTAGCCTGTACCAAACTGCAGATGGAGTGTATATATATATGAAATGGTTTTATGTCATGAGAGGGGTGACAGAAGAATAGGGGCCCAAAGAAGTTGTGCAATTTCCATTCTTGGTGATGGCTCAGCATTTGACTGGACAAGGTTTCACACAGCTTCATATAATGTGGCTGTGCTTTGAATGTGGGATTTGACAAGATGACCTGCAGGGATCCTTTCCAGTGCAAATTATTGCAATTCTGCTATATTTATCTATTCACAAAACAGACCTCTCTCATTCTGTCCTGGCATTCCCAGGTGTTCCTGGAGGGCATTACATAATCCCAGCCCAGATACAAGGAGCCCCAGATCTCTTCCAGTGAGCAATATTATGTCCATCTTCCATTAATAACATTTATGTGTTTATCATAAGAAGATGCAGCTATACAGGAAAAGCAAGGGCTATGCTTGAAATATTTATAGCGTTTCCACTGAAAGACCTGGAACTCAGAACACTCATTTTAAAACAAACAAACAAACAAACAAAACCCCCAAACCCTGCATACTACTAACAGTATATAATTTATGAGTAAGGTTTGTTACCCCATCTGCTTCCTTTGATGAACTGAGCTGTCAAGTCGGAGGTTTCTTGTGTTCCCATTATCTACTGAACAGCAGTGTATTTTAGAACCTTCTGGAAACATGAAATATTGTCATGTGTAATATGAATACATGAGGACATTTTCATTATATAAATAGAAAACCCTATTAAACTCTCACCAATATTTTCTTTCCAATATATTGCTTGCTTCCTTTGGGAAATTCTATCCTTAATAAAAAAGCACCTTCACAGATGTTGTAATGGGTTGCTTAAAAACAAGCAAACAAAAACAAACACCCCCCACAAATCCTGAGAGAAAAGCCATGAGGAAAACTACACATTTATGTTGTCAAAGGATTAAAAACAAAAAATACAAAATGTGCTATATTTAAATTAACTTTAATAAGAAGTACAAAAAGATAATGTTAAGCAATATTTTGCATGTGGTTAATAAATATTCTTCAACAGCAAGCAGTGACACATTCAAACTTAAATTCAGTTATTTCTTTTACAGTTTAGAAAAGTAACAATTTTTTTCCAGTTAAAACAAGGTCACAAATTACAGCACATTATCATCCTCTTTAATTATTTATAATTATGAAACCTACTAAATAAGTGAACTGTCACCCAGAAGATTTTGTATGACATTGATGTTCAAGGTTAAGTGTACTTACATTTGTCATGCAGTTTCTTACTGTGCATATTTGATTGGTGTTTATTCTTTAAAATTATTGGTTCCATTCTTCCCATTTGCTTATTTCTTGTTAATATACCAGAAGCATCTATTTTCAAACTCCTATATATTTTCACACCTAAGTGGCTCACTAAAGTAGATTTTTCATAGAATGCATAAATGCTCTCTGACTCCAGCCCAGCTTAGAATTTGCTAACAATGTTTGAATCAGACTCCACATTTACTTTTTTTTAAAATCAAGTATGCAATAAGATTTAGTGTAATCACTTCCATTAAAATTAAAGTGCCTTCAAATGTTTCCTAATAAAGTGACTATTTGGAGGGGAGAGGGTGAATGGGTGCTGTTTAAGAACGGATTTTTAACAGTTTATAGATACAGTGCATATGTATTCTAAGAGATGTAAAGTACTACATTGCATTCCGTGCCAATGCTAAGCTACAGTACCCTATAAACTGATAAATTCAGCCAAAATTAATATCTAATAAAAATATCAAAAGCAGTTGATCAAAGCAGTATCTTGTTCCATTCTGTATTTTCATCCATCCTCAACAACATAGATAGATGGATGAATTACTGGAAAACAAATATAACACTTCAACCTGTTGAAGCTCATCTTTTTTGAATGTCAGATGAATGAAAGAACTCAGTGCAATCATTAAAAAACTTGAATGCATAAAGACATTCTCCAGGCCACCTGATCGAGTGAAGTATTCAAAACATTATGTAAGGAATTAAAATTTGAAAGAAAAATATAACTTTTGAAACACCCAACGATAAAAATATATTCATATATATTTATGTAGACACCAACACTAGAGGAAAAGTATACATTATCTTGCATATTTTAAAATATCCTTTAAATTTCTTTTTGCATTATCACCTACTCCTAACTCATGGCACTTTCTCAATATTCTCAAATGGCATTAACATATACTAGGAATGAAACAGACATCAAGTCCTGTATTTCAGTATGGTTAGCTCTTTTAAGGTCTTATTTTTATACGTTAAAGAACTAAACCACCTCTATCCAAAGGAGAACCCTGGTGTAGTCTCAGGTGTACTCCCCTTCTGTGAAAAATCCTGGCTGACTCCAGTGACATAGATAAATATCCTCAGGATGTTAATCACTGTTAGTTTAAATTCAGTGCAAATTTTGCCCTGATCTCAGTCCAGCCTGCAATGTTTAGCATCTTCCAGTCAGATGTAATCACAAACTCCAAAACACAAGTTCAAGGATTCACCCAGAGAGATGTGAACCTAGAAAATTAAATGGGTTTAAAATATTTTTAAAATTTTTATGTGATTAACATCTGCCATTCATTGAAACAAACTTTAAAGCCTTTAACTTCTACTACTAAAGGTCTAAAGTGATAAAGTCTCTCACTGATTCTCAGACAGCTGAATTCAGAACAGAATTAGAAGTTCTGATTGTTAGAGATTTTGGGTTATCTACAGAAATGAGGTGGAGGAGGTCTCCTAGACTAAAAAATTTAAGAGAAGGTAATGTCAAAGGAATATAACTTCAAGTTGTATTGCAAACTGACAACATTCTAGCAGAAGGTATGTTGTCACTGTGAAGAGGTGGAAGGAATCCTAAAACTCTGATCTTGAAAGAACCACTCCTTGTACTGGAGGCTGAAGTGTGAGCTGACTTTCATATAAAATCACTTCACCACTTTAATGCTTCAAAGTCTTTAAGATAAAAACTTCATATGACATCAAATTATACCACACTCAGAGATTCTACTTAGATGTGTTTAGACATTTGTACATTTTTCATGCTCTGTGTTTTTTAGATTAGGCTATTTAACTTTCTGAGCTAATTTTAAAATGTCTTCATCTCCTTAAAACCCATCACATTGCTTTCTAAATTGCTTGCTTTTTTTTTTTTTTAGCATTATATGTTTACCCATAATCGGGCATAGACTGATGATAGCTTCATATCCATACTGAAATCATCTTCCATGAATATTTGTTAGGAATGGAAATGTTCAGAAGTATATGCTTCCTCTGTTTTGTGAAAGGCCAAGGCAAAAACTTGTGAACCACTTAGCTTTCAGAATAGGAATGAGAGGTATGGAGGATAGATACTGACAACCTGTGCTTAAGTGAAAGTCACACCTTTTAAGAAAAAAATAGAATTAACAAAGTTCTATTTCATTAATGAAGCTTCTTTCCCCCCTTCACCCCAGGTGTCTCTTATGGCAGGAAGCACACAACACTGCATGGTTTTCAGAACAGAGCCAGCAGAAGCCTCTCACTTTCAAAGGCACAGTTCATGTCCCTCAAGTTCAGCAGAATTATACAAGTAGTATTTAAATCTCCTATGTTCTAAAAGTTACTTTCCCACAGCTCATGCTGATGAACGCTCAGAACTGAAGCTGAAACAAAAATACATATTACCTCCCTCAATGGCTTCTTCCTCAACCAATCATCTCACAATCCACTAAGACATACATTTGCTTCTTTGCTTTCTTCCTTTCTTCCCCCATACGTCCCTACCTCTTCCCAGTTGCTTCTAGTTGCTTTCACACAGACAATTTATGGTCACCTCACTTCTGAAAAGTCTCATCATATCAGATGTTATCTATGATCACTGGGAAGGGAAGGGAATTCGGTAAGGCTCCTGTTTGGCATCTGGAGAAGCTCTTTCATGCTTCCTAATTTAGAATAATGTTCAGTTTTATGAGTAGTCTCCCAACCTAAAGTTTGTACCTCAGAACATCCAGCATAATATTTTTTTTAAAGATGATCAACAATGCAGCAGTTACAAGTTGAATTAAGCAGATATGGAATGTGAAGGTAATTTCATTGGCTACAACATAATTGAGAATTTTGGAAGCCGCTCTTTTAAAAGCAAGGAGTTAAGAAGTCTTTAGCAGACAACCCTAGCTGATAAACCCTGCTGATCTGTATATTCTTTGTGCTGATTTATAAATTATTGTTAAAGTAGTGACCATGTGCATCCAGTAGCGTGTGCCCCAGTACTACCTTGGAAACCTGTTTCATAATTGAAACCTCGTTTGTAATTATAGTAATTTCAATAAAAGTTTACCATAGTGTTATATCACTGTATTTTTTGTGTTCATTTATTAACTCACATAAAATATGAACACCCTGACCCCAGAATAATGGGAAAAATAAATTATATTCACATGTCAATCAAAAATTTCACTGGTAAAAAATTTTCACTGTGCAAGTCTTTTGATAGTGAAATTACTTGCATTTGCTCACTTACAGTCCCTCTCCTCACTTTTAAGTATTTAAGACCAGTAAGTTTTACTTAAATTAAATGAAACTTCTAGGTATTTGGCTCATAAATTTGTGACACCAGTTTTCAAATCCTAGACACAGATTCAATGCCACTAAATTGTAAGAAGGCTTAACTCTTGCATTCCAATGTTCCTTGCATGATGCTTGCATTCATTCAAACCTTTACATTCAAATTCACTTATCCAGTCTTTAGTTTTACAAATTTGCAACTTATGTGTAGTCATTTTATTCACTATAAATGTTTCAGTAGTGAAACAATAAAGCAGACTTCCTCCCACAGAAGGTGTTTGCTTTAACACAGACCAGCTGAACTAAATGTAAAAGTGAAGCTTTTGTGGAGCCTACACACTCAAAAGTCTTGCTAATGCCCACAATAACTGCATGTGTATATTTAAAATGTATTCTCATTCACTGACTGAATTTGTATATTTAAAATGTATTCTCATTCACTGACTGAATTTGTACATTATACTTATTCTTCTGTATTAGTGTGCAATAAATGTATCTCTAGCATGTGATAAACACCTGGTTTTTTGCCTTCCTGACCCCTAAGCATAACACAAGCATAGAAAAAAATGGTCAGTGAGTGAAAACATCATTTTACCCAAAAAACAAAGCAGTAGCAGCAGAGCTGACTAACATGAGACAGCATCAGGCTTCTTGTACAGACTGAAGATACACTTTTTGCATGCAGCTCTGAATTACACAGCTGTTCTTTTCCAGAGAAGTTGTCTTGTTGTAGAAGACTTGTACTGTCAAAAACGTTTGAGAGGTCCCGTTCTTGGATTAGGATGAAAAATCCTTCCTTATCAGCTAATCCAATATGCCTCTAAGCACACTCGTAGTGGGGAGAGTTCTGACTATACAGTGTCATGCATGGAGCAATACACAACATTGTTCAAATATTTTGAAGAGTTTGGAGTACCTGGGAGTGACCAAGGGTGAAACACAAACCTCTGATTCTCATGCCCCAGTTCAGTGAGCCTTGGAGGGTCCCTACATCTTGCTGATGCAAACAGAAGGTAAGAACTCGCACTAGGTCACAGGAAGGAGACCTTTGCCACAGAAAACATAATCGAGCTACTCAAGTTCAAGAGCTGTTTGACATGGGCCTCCATTAAACTATACAGTCAGAGCCCTTTGCCAAAAACAGAGTTAAAAGTGAAGGGATTTTTCTACAGTTCTAATATTTACAATTGTTTGTACATATGTACATATTTATATATTTATTCATACCTGGACAATGTGACTTTAAAGGGATCATTTATAATTTACAAATGAAACATTTTAAAAATGTATAATTATACCATGAAATAAACCTTTGTTTATTGCTTGCCTTCCAGCCTTATGCTCATAATCTCACTATTGCACACATCTCCATGTTACATGGAAAATCTACATTTATATATAAATATATATGAAAATAAGGATATTTCAATTTTAATGTTCTGAGTAAAGTGCTCATTTTTTAACTACTGTTGATGAGAAAGGTTTAATCTGACAGTTTAATTAGAGGGACTTCAAGGGAAACACACCTAGTCCATGCTTCTCCATTTCATTTATAACTTACATTTTCCTGATGTCAACTCTGTCTTAACTATTAATTCTATTCATAATATGCATTTGTGACCTTGGCACCTATACTGTCACACAAAGTACAAAACAGAATCACATTAAAAGCAAAGAAAAAGCAAGAAAATAAATCAGCAAATGAGAGCAGTGTTTCTCTTTGTTGTTTTTAGCACATTTCCATGTCTTAAGATACTCTTTTATTTGATTTTAGAAATATTTGTACAATTTTGTTAAACTCTGAACATATCTATTTTATGCACTATACTCAAGTACTGTACAAAACTGCAATAAATGACACTATACGACTACATATGTCTCTACTAGAAGACATCATCATAAAGGTGTATCTTTTTTTAAAGGTCAACTAATAACTGCTAATGTATGTGTGAATCGAAGTATTTTTGATTGGCCAAGTATACTAAAATCTAAATACAGTACACAATTATTACTTATGCTATGATTTATCAGGCCTTTAGGGGCATAAAGAATCTTTGCAAAGGCTCAGATGAGAAACAATTTTACTGATCAGTATTAAATGTTCATATAAAATTGCAAGTGGCAGCTCCAATTTTGTTATATTTGTGTATACGAAATACAGTTCATACCTACTGAAAATGCATGACCTTTTATTAAAAAAATAACATTCAAATCTTAGCAAAACCATTTCTAGTATACAAAGTTATTGTAAAGTTATGTCAGCGAAATGCAAAGTTGCAATTTACAAAAGCAGCAGTAAATTTTATTATATGGACAATTTCCTGAACTTAAGTCATGATTCTTGTTTCCCTTCAAAAGAATGCTTTCTGGGACGAGTAGAGGTAAATATTTTAATGGCAGGTTTTAGGTTAACATTAAGCAAGGAAAGAGTGTATACTTAACCCTGAAAGATTTCTGAGCACTTTTCTGAACCTCACAATAATCCAATTAAGAACAAAATCAAAAAACAAAACAAACAAAAAAAATCCAACTTTGCTGAACCAGACAAACCTGGCTTAGTAACGTCAAATAAATAAAACAGTGAAAAGAACAAGATTTTTCATTAGCAGAAGTTGGTTGAAAGTGAAAATTTGATTAACACTAGCTTTTGCCTGAAATCATTTAGAAGGGTTTAATAAGAACTTCAAGCAGGACAGAAGAAAGAAACTTGTGGCTTTTGCCATATAGTAGTCTTTACTACCTCTTCAGCCTAACTAGCATCCACAATGTTTGTGAACAGTAGAACTGTATGAGCTCCATACTTTGTTATGTACATGGGTACCGCTATTGTATGAAACAATTACACCTTTTTAAAAAAATCATTTTTTTAAATGACAGTTTCTTTCATTAAAGTAGGATTACTTTATAGAAAAATATTTTAACTTTAAATTAAAAAAATACTGTTCTTAAATAATTATGTAGGATCATATCTTCATTTCGTTGTACGGAGAGAGTATAATTCTGTATATTTGAATCCTAGTTTAACAGAACTCTCCTGGGTATAACTTTTAAACAGCTGGCTATATTTGCCATGGGTGCTATCTGTTTACAGACCCATGAAATAACAGTGTGTCCCTCCTTTGGAGATACACTGATAAGACATCTATATACACTCTGTACATAATGGTTCACAGATTAGCAGTTATTAGTCGGACTGTACATAGCGAACAACCTATCTGATTAGAATGATTCTTTAAGTCCTCAGTGCAATTCAGATTTTAAGTTGATGGTGCAAAGCCAAGTAAGACAGGCTCTCTGTTTAAATATGTAGCCCAATACACTAAATTGAAAGTACCAAATAAGACTGGAAACACTATTCTAGACATTCTGTCAATTTTGCTAACACTGTTGAATGTTTTCTTTGCTTCCTGTGGCTTCGCTTCTGGTTTTGCCTTGTTGGGTTCTGCAGTTGTAGCACTCTTGGAGATAGTTGGTAGCACTGAGTCCTTGGTAATATTTGGAGCATAGTTGGCAACAGCCACTGCATAGGCATTGTTTTTCTTAATGACAGACGCTTTTTCTTTTTTCTATTGGAAGACAGCATGGAGTTAAATATTTAATGTGTATTTGCCAGAATAGACTTAATTAAACATCATTTCAAATGTAAAAGAAACAAACAAGTATGTTAAAATAAGTATTAGCAATACCATGCTGATAAATTCAAATATAAAGAAAGACACTTCCAGTCTACCAAAAAAGAAGGTATAGGTAACATGAGAATGCTGTAAAAGCATAGACTCTTGCGCTATCAAATGCCCTACTGATGTTCTATGAGGAAGGATCTACTACCGCAATTGTAAGGATAACTGGAAAAGAGTTTTTTCTCTAGCTGCTTTGCATCTGGCTCCTTACAATGTAATTGCAAGATGTTTAAAATGTTCTCTGTTAGAAGAACTATGAGGAATGAATGGGTGGACTGGAAAAAAAAAATAAAAATTACCTGGCATTGTAATAAAAGGAAAATTAGGCCATCTTTTCCACGTAAATCTAGCATCACTATTAAATGAACCTCTCATAATATACCACTAATATATAATGAAATTTCAGCAATGGTCTATATTTTTAAGAGATTCTGGAGAAATATGTGTGTGCTTACATGTATATATACATAGACACACACACTGATGTCAGAAAGAGATTGCAATTGAGAGAAAGAAGGACTCGAGCCTAGTAGTTGCAGAAACAAGCTGAGAGCTAGTCCAAGAACTATTTCTGTTCTTCAGAAATTATTGTTTAAAAAATGTGTAACAGTGATGAATATGGGGATTAGAACCTAAAAAGTAACAGAATATAAGAAAAGTAAAGTGGAATTACAAGAATTTAGTGAAGTTTAGCAAAGGGAAATTAAACTCCTGCACCTCAGGAGGAATAACACCATGCACCGGTAGAGGTTGGGACTAATGGACTGAAAAGCAACTATGCAGAAAAGGCCCAGGATGGACACCAAGTTGAACAGAAGTCAGAAATGTGCCCTGACTGCATTACAAAGGCCGAGGGAGGTGAGCATTCCCATCAACTCAGCCCTAATAAGATACATCCATAGTGATAGACCCAGTTCTGGGCTCCCTGGTTCAAGAGACATGCAGAGTAAGTCCGGCAAAGGATTACAAAGATCATTTAAGGCCTGAACCATCTGAAATATGAAAGGCTGAAAGCTGTGACTGTTCAGCCTGGAGAACAGCAGGCTCAAGGGGGAGTTTTATCAATGTATATAAATATCTGGTGGGAGAGAGTAAAGAAGACCAGAAAAGACTCTTCTCAGTGATATCCAATAGAAGGACAAGAGACAATGGGCACAAATTGAAATGCAGAATGTTCTACTTAAATATACAAAAATACCTGTTTTACCATGAGCGTGACAGCACTGGAACAGGTTGCCCAGAGAGATTGTGGAGTCTCCATCCTTGGAGATACTAAAATTGTCTGGATATTAGATTCAGTCCATCTCTTTCACAAAATACAGAATTAAACAGATGAAGAAACAGTTAACTTCTGGCTATTGTATTGGTTTGGTTTAATTTTTTGATCTAATTAAAGTGGCACAGGAGATGGTGTCACATAAAATCTGGGATCAGGTGGGAATTCAGCGCTGTTCCTTATTGACTGGAGTGTGAAAAAGGGCTGATCAAATCTGTAGCTTGTCCCTTCACCTGCTTTCCTGTCAGACAAATTCCATGTTGACAGCACTTAGATGGGAATTTCCATATAACGTGAACACAGATGACTGTCACTGAGGAAACATATTTCACTCTATTTGGTGAGGAGTAACCTGGCTTTAGGTGCACAGATGCATTCAGCAAAAATAATTGCCAAATCTAATTACAAGAGGAACACTCTAACTGATCTATAATTCCTTCCTTTCAGACACACTTAGTGTGTTTTTAAAAGGTATCTGTAAAACCATTAAAGAGACCTGTATAATAAAGATGAACCATATTTTTGTATGACAAACTATGACCATGTTAAAAGTTTAGCTTTTTGTTAAGACAGTTTGAAGAAAATAGAGAACGGGGCATGTGAATTGTATGTAAATCCTCACATGGAATCGATAATTTTATTTTTCTTGGGGAAGAAATGCTATCTTGCTCTTAAACAGCTGCCACTCCTAAGATCAGGAGACAACACTGTTATATTAATTTGAAGGAACAGCCAAAGTATGATCAGAGATTTTATAAGGGATCCCTACACTATTACAATGCCAGGGTAATATGCCCATCTGAAAAGCTTGATTTGGGACATGCTGATAATCTTGTAGCGATTCTGTATCTACTTCTAGCATGAGGGAACAGACCCCAAAGCTATGGACAGCTCATGTCTTAATGGAAGCCACAGGAAATTATAAACAACATACTTTTTCTTCTAATTCTCTTGTACTATTAATTGAACATTTTGTTTCTTTACGCATTGTGCATTTTGCATTCAAAGTGCTGAGAAACCACCAGTCAATTAAACATTGCTTTGCATCTAATACTATCATGTAGGAAGCAAATAATATTCTACCTAATGTAAGGAGAATGATAGAAATCAGAGTATTCTTTATCATAAGAAATCCTTTTCCATTGGTAGAACCAGGCACTGAGATAGGAAAAATTACATAATATAGTCAGTCAGCCAAAACAAGAAGTTAGCTTTAACAGTCATTCTGTGTTATTAAAATTATACACTGCAAAGCTAGTCACAAATTTAGGAATATCACCAGTTAATTTTGTTCATGAAATAAGAAATTCTATCAGGTGAAAATTTCTTCATGCTATCACACCTACACTACTATCAATACCAGAAAATTAAGGCATGACTGTTTTTCTGTGCACTCAGAGCAACAATGCATCATAGGTGAAGAAGCATTGAGAATTTTGTAAAATTGCTATTTAAAATAGTTTAAAGATCAATGTCTATATATCATTAAGGATAAGATTCAGAATACTGAAAATGTTCAAAACCTCTAGATTTTGTTATTAATATTTTTTTACATATATGGGCATTCTGTTCTTATCTTTAATTACCTGGAAAATTAACATATGTTATCTCTCTCTCTAATATTCTTCTTATTTCCAATTGAAATAGATTAAATAATGAAAAAGGGATCAACCAATAAATCTAGATTAAATTTTCTGAATAAACAGATAAACAGTTGTATTTAAGGAGTCAAGAAACAAGTCAGTTCCCAATGTAAAAAAAGCAATGTGCTTGATATATAAAACTGGAATACTGAGACCAAGTAACATTAGCTACATCTGGGCAGATATATTTTTGTTCAGGACTGAAAATACACCTACATTCTTTTGATTTAAAACATCATATATTATTTGTTTTTATCTAGCCAATTTTATCAAAACTATGTATTACAGCTGCTTTAATGAAATTGAATGGAAATAGGGAAATTTCCTTAGGACTTACCTTATCATTCACTACACTTTTTCCATCCCAAGCCCATCCTCGCTTTGTGAAGTAATTTACAGTTGCAAATTCGATTAATGCAGAGAATACAAATGCATAACAAACAGCAATAAACCAATCCATAGCTGTTGCATATGCTACTTTGGGGAGTGAATTTCGAGCACTGATGCTCAGTGTTGTCATTGTCAACACAGTTGTGACTCCTGCAATGGGGAAAAAAAAACCACAACAGTAACAATTTTACTTGGATTTTTAAGGTTAACAAAAATACAAACCAAAAATTATTATGGTTTGTTTGTGAACACAGTGGAAAACTTCTTATCTAGGTTGGTGACAGACTGCCAGAACCTTCTTAAAAGCTGCATCTTGGATTTCCTTTGACATATTTTAGTTCAGTTTTGTTGTCTGAACTTCCGTTTTTTTAATCAGGTTAAGATTTTACTTATAGGAGATAGAAAATCTATAGATAGATATATATTTTTAGCTATCAGTACAGGTAAGGAAAAAAATCATCAATTCCTTAATGGAATTGTAATATTTGGCAGCATTAAGTAAAAATGATTGATATAGTAATGTTTTGTGGATGGCTTCACTGCAGAAACTGCAGGTTTGGCACCTTTTCTCACTAACCATTCAGTGACATAGTTGAAGATATAAACAGATAAAGTCTTCATTCAGGTAACATGGATTTTTTTTTTTTTTTCTAGAACAGCATATAGTTTTGAAATGTTAGATTATTATTACTGTGTCACAAAACAAGACTTCATGACCCAGGAAGATTGTTTTTCACTATGGCTGTTATTAAGAGCACTTCACAGTATTTTGTACATGATGAAGACCCAGTAGGAAGCCAGGAATCAAACTAAAAAAAAAAAAAAAAAAAAAATCAGAAAAAAAGATAAATGAGAGGAAAGGAAGAACATTTTTTGAATCAAGTTTTAGCAAGAAGAAATGCACAGCCACAAACACAGTCTCCATTCCTTAAGTAAATCAGTTCTCCCACGTGAGACTGAATCACACTTAGACAAACTGAACTATTCCCTTCGTGGCAAGCCATTAAATACGTCTCCAGAATTAAAAGCAACACAAAGTGATATACTTAGCACAAATCAAAAACCTACACTCCATGATGACAGGCAAAGCAGATGCCATGGCAGAAATATTAATAACAGCACATCACAGCTTCAACAACTATACACTCATAAAATTGTTGTAAAAGGGTTCCCAAGGGAAAGTAAAGTCACTCTTCCTAAGACAGATCCTTCACTGTCAGCAACCTGTCACCTGGGTTCTGCAGGATTGACCTAGCTCAGATTTTCTTTCTGCTACAAGAGAAGCATTTTTAAACTGCTGTGTGAGAGGGAAGAGAGGCAGCAATTACGCCTACTCAGACCTCTTTAGACTTTGCAATTTCCATCCCTCCTGTGAAGAATCTCCATCTCTGAGGGTGCTACACAGGATGACAGAGCAAAGCTAAGCAGTCTCAGCCTCAGCATTACTCTCCCTTGATAACACTTCCAAAGGCCTGTGCAGCAGGGAAAAAAAGGCACAGAAACAACTTGCTGAGTCACACAGTAGCCTGACACTTTAGCAAACATGATTTTGTAATTGCCATTTTTCAACCTCCATAAATGAAAGTGGTGGATTTAACTGGAATCAGCCATGACACTGTTAGCCTATACCACAAAAAGGAAGCAGCTGTCATACTATATTGTGTGAAAACGTGTAGACAATATATTTTGTAAAGAACTTATTCTCTCCTAACACTTACACAACATATGGATTAATTATTTTCAGCACTTCAGGGAAAGGCAGTCTATCTTAAATTTAAAATTATCACATGCAAATTTTAACAGCAGCCCTGAGCTGCAAATAAATCATTTTAATTACACGGAAGTATCAGTAAAGTAATTGTTTCTCAGAGATAAGTTGACCTTATCCACATGTAAATATATGCAGTTGCTAACGTAATGTTCTGTTTAAGTCCTACCTTTTAGAATAAACTAATCTTCTGGAAGCCCCCTTGGCTTCTTCAGAAATTTAATTTAACTGCTGACCTTTTCTAGTCTCAATTAAACCATCATGAATTTACATCTTGTATCTTGGTATCAGTTGACAATTTCTCTAAAAAGTTAAGCAAACCACACCACTTTGGGACCCAAATGTCAATCAAACAGCCCACTGTCAGAGAATTGCCAGTGCACTTTATTTACTTGTTCATTCTATAAATTCAGACATGTTCAAGCTACCACAGTGATATAACCTGTGGTAGCTTGAACATCAGAGTGGGAAAAAAACAGACAGAAAATTTCACTTGTGAAACCTGTCAGTACTGGAATCTCCAATATTTTTATACTTGCTATTTTTCTTCAATAAAAAAAAAAAGATAGATGATTTTGCACATTATAGTTAATTTTAAAAATCAGTATTATGAAGTCTTCTTTACAAAAATGGATGGAATGGAAGTAACCTCCCTCCTTGTCACTGCTAAATTTGATAGGGCTGAAAAATTATTAATCTGGAAGAATATGGTCAACTTTTAAAACAAAACACAATTATTTCACAAAGATTTAACTTAAACCCTGTACACTGACCAGATCAAAAACATTTCTCTTTCCAATAATTTGTAACACTAGTGAACTAAAATTGATATAAAACCCAGTGAGTAGATTGTCCCCATACAATGAGGTAGCCAAACAATTAGAGAAAAACAATCTTCTCTCCGAAATCATATACGACTATGAAGAGCCTAAATAAGGTAACAGGCTATGTAAAGACTGCATGCTATCACCCTATGATGTAGAAAGGCCAGTTTATAGACATGTCAAGAACTATCATCTATAGCAGATATGGCACTTAGCACATGCCAGAAGGACATGGCCACATATCATCTTGTAAGAGACCATGAGCAGCCATCAATTTGTCTTTAAAGGATTCAAAACATAAACCATTGATGTATCACTTCTTCAAAGAGGACCAAGCATTTTATACTTGACAGTAGATAAACCCAACATCATACAATTTTCTTTTTCTTAGCAGTGCATGCTTATAAATGCTAAATATATTATAACACTACAGTTTTATCCATTCTGGAGCTATTTGATTGCCTAGGATTTTTTTATGGTGCCACTTTTGAAGTGGCATCTGTTCAGTGGAGGGAAGATACCCATCTCCAGGACTCCAAATTCAACACTTTCAACTGACACTAAACTTACATATGTGGAAAATACCAGCTCTGACATATTTTTGATTCCAGGACAGATTGATACCATCCAACATACGTTTTAAGTCAGACAGCCACCTTTGGGCAAAAAATTTCTGTCACTCAGCAGTCTAGGGCACTGCCACACAACAGCAGAAGAGGTAAACTGAAAACATAGAAATGGTTAACTAAAAACATTCAGTGGAAATTGAAGACGTTATCACATAAATATTAAAGTTAAATCTTGTCATTATGAATAGTTATGCCCACATTTGTGCACAAAAAGTCAGGCTACTCTTTGACAGCAACAAGACCTTTTGGACCCTAATTTCACCTCTTGTGTATCAACTGATTTTTGTAATTTGAGCAGATTTTAGTTAACTGTACTGAAGGGGGCCTATAAGGATGCTGGGGAGGGACTCTTCATTAGGGACTACAGTGACAGGACAAGAGGTAATGGGTTAAAACATAAACAGGGGAAGTTTAGATTAGATACAAGGAAGAAGTTCTTTACCGTGAGGGTGGTGAGGCACTGGAAGAGGTTGCCCAAGAAAGTCGTGAATGCTCCATCCCTGGTGGCATTCAAGACATGGTTTAGAGTGGTGTCCCTGCTCATGGCAGGGCAGTTGGAACTTGATCTTAAGGTGCTTTCCAACCCAAACCATTCTATGGTTCTATATTATGTCCTAGCCTTCTCTTGTTAGAATGTAGACGCAGCCCTTGAAAATGACATGGTCATTTGGGTGGCATAGTTTAGTGGGAGGTGTCCCTGCCCATGGGCAGGGGGGGGCTGGAACTTGATGATCTTGAGGTCCTTTCCATCCCTAACTATTCTATGATTCTGTAATGAAAGCCAAAGGCCTAAACAGTGAGTTACTAAAGAATATTTCAGGAACAAAAGTGGTACTTCAGCTTTGCAAATAATTTGTACAAAATGCTTAAAATGTGTTCCATTTCTTAGAATATCATGCTACTCCTCCCACAATTTTATCTTTTCACCAGAACACTTTGCAAAGATACACAGGGTGGTTGAAGAAGATTTCACAAAAGGATTGATAAATTGCTCTTTTTGTATGAGGAGACTAACCCAATTGCTCTATTATTTCATGCTTTCTTTTTTCTTAAAAGCAATTAGATTACCCAACCTGGTCCAAAACCTGAACAGATTTATAAATACAAATAACATAGCAGAAAGAAAAAATTGTTGTACCTTTTTGAAAGATACAGATTGCTGCCCCATTTTATCACGCCAAGAGTAAACATTTGGAGGCCTAAACAAAAGCTTAAAAATTCTGGAAATAGATAGTGTAATTTTGAAGTATTATACCATAACTGTGGCTACACACCATACTCTCATTACTTGAGAATACAATACAAAGGAAGTTTACATTGCTTTTGCTTAGACACTGGCAAATACGTCTGAATTGTCCTGGGTTCAGCTGTTATTTTTTTCTTCCTAGTAGCTGGTGCAGTGCTGTGTTTTGGCTTTAGTCTGAGAACAATGTTGATTACACACTGATGTTTTAGTTGTTGCTAAGTAATGCTTACCCTGATCCAGGACTTTTCAGTCACTCATGCTCTGCCAGTGAGGAGGGGCAGAGGATGCCAGCAGGAAGCAGAGACAGGACACCTGACCCAAACTAGCCAAAGGGGTATTCCATACCACAGCGCATCATGCTCAGTACATAAACTGGGGGGGGGCATTACGTGGAAGGGCAGATCGCTGCTCGGGTCAAGCTGGGTATCAGTCAGCGTGTGGTGAGCAATTGTATTGTGCATCACTTGTGTTTATTGTTTTCTTTTCCTTCTCTTTTAGCTTTATATTCTCTCCCCTTATTATTTCTCTTGTCATTATTAGTGGTAGTAGTATTAGTTTTGTATTATAGTTCAGTTACTGGACTGTTTTTATCTCAACCTGTGGGAATTACAGTTTGTCGATTATCCTCCCCGTCCTGCCTGGGGGGGAGAAGGGAGTGGGTGAGTGATTGGCTGTGTGGTTCTGAGTTACCAGCTGGGCTTGAACCAGGTCAACAACTAAAGCCAAACAGTAAGTGCTATTTACCCTAACTCCAGTAAAAGTTACATATCATTATGCCACTATTGGAATATGAGCTACTGTCTTGACCACCACTGAGCTGAGAAGACATATTTGTTTGCAGCCACCTCAGTCATTTAAGGTCTACAGTTTCCCAGGTATGCTTGCCCACTGCCTACCAGTAGTGTTATACCTACAGTTAGCAGAAACTCCCAATTAAGAAATTATAGACTGAAAGCTGTAAGTGCTGGGATAACTCTAAAGGCACAAATGATAATCAGCAACATGTGAAAGGAGAAGCAAATAAAGAGAGTTGAGATTTTTTTCAACAGAATAGGAAAATATAATTTTTATATATAGAATTGTTCAAAAGGAAAGGTCTACATTATTGAATTACCATGTAAAAATAACCAAAAATCAAATCTGCACTTTTCTTAGGTTTCCCTCTCTGTGCTTGTACATAATCTGCCTATTTCAGGTCTAAATCACAGAATCATAGAATCATGGCTTTTTGCTTCAAAATGTACAGTAATTAATATAGGTTCAGAAAAGATAAACCAAGAACAAGCAAAACACAGGGACAGGAAAGCAGCATAATAATATGATCACAGAGAATACAGCCCTGACAAAAGAACATGGCTACATGAATTTAATATTCTGCATCTTGAACAATGTATTAAAAAATAATACAACTCCTAATTTTTGTTCTTGCCTGCTTTGGGTATCAAATGGTATATATATATCTAACTACATTCCTTTTAACAGTCTCATTCTCATTCTGTGTGAGAATTAAATCACATAGATAAGTATAGCACTAAGAAAACTAATTTTTGACTTTTCTGTCACCTGCCTGTAGAGCTGCAATTCAAATATATGTGATGCTTCTAAATGTTATGACCATTAAAAATGGAGAATTCAATAAGCTGCACAAGATTAGCTTTGCTAACATTGTTGACACTAAATGCGTAACAATGAACACATTACTAAATGAAACAGATTGTAATCTTGCACTAAATGAAGGCATTATGAACCAAGCTCATTCCCTTTCTTTAAAAACACAATCAAATGCTTTTTGAATTTATCTGCTAGAGAAAACATATTCAAGACTTAATGATGATAAAACTTTCTTCTTCCATTAATTTAAAGCAAAGTTGAAACAATGTAACATTAGCCCATAATTCATTTGGGATAACTTAGGTCAACAATATTAAATAGATGCCATAAAGGAAAGGGATTAAGGAGCTCAATTATAAAAGAAGCTTCATTCTACCAAGCCCTTAGTGTTACCATAGAACTTAAAACTTCATTGCAAGAGAATAGAAGGGGGAAAGAAAAGTAACTTCTTTCAAACATTAAATAATAAATGGTAAGTGCTGCTTTGAATATCTGGCAGTTATGTTTCTTTGAAAACAACAGTACTCCAGGAGTTAGTCCTTTCCAGGACTTGGTAGCTCTCAAGAAGATACTTGAAATAAATTTCTTATTTATTCTGACAAACACTTTATCAAAACTAATACTTTCTACTTAATATTTTAACATTTATACATTAATTATTGCTATACTATCATATCCGTATACCCAGGACGTTATTATGCTTATATGTTATGTAGAATATATTCTTGTTATATATATATTATACAATGCAAAGATGGGTATCTAGTGACAACTCCTTATAAAAACTAAAAATTAAGTATGATCAATAAAAATGTAAAGTGAAATCTCCTACAAGTTTTATATTTTCTGCTAGAAGTAGCTTATTTTATTAACTTAGCTGTAATATGGGCTTCATATATCACTGCTGGAGTATACGTGAAAGTACCACCCAAATGAGATCTTGAGTATACCTGCCCCACTCTAATTGCCAAGATTAGTTCAGTAAGAGGCAGAAAACTGTAAGAAGCAATAGATGAACTTTGCTATGAAACTGTATCTAAATTCACACTTTCAAAACACATTTAGGCAGGAGACCAGAAGGGTATCATAAATATAGAATCATAGAATAGTTACGGTTGGAAAGGACCTTAAGATCATCCAGTTCCAACCCCCCTGCCATGGGCAGGGACACCTCACACTAAACCATCTCAGACAAGGCTTTGTCCAACCTGGCCTTGAACACTGCCAGGGATGGAGCATTCACGACTTCCCTGGGCAAACCATTCCAGTGCCTCACCACCCTCACAGTAAAGACCTTCCTTATATCTAACCTGGACTTTCCCTGTTTAAGTTTGAACCTGTTACCCCTTGTCTTATCACTACAGTCCCTAATGAAGAGTCCCTCTCCAGCATCCCTATAGGCTCCCTTCAGATACTGGAAGGCTGCTATGAGGTCTCCACGCAGCCTTCTCTTCTCCAGGCTGGACAGCCCCAACTTTCTCAGCCTGTCCTCATACAGGAGGTGCTTGAGTCCCCTGATCATCCTTGTGGCCCTCCTCTGGACTTGCTCCAACAGCTCCATGTCCTTCTTACATTGAGGACAACAGAACTGCACTCAGTACTCCAAGTGAGATCTCATGAAAGTAGAGGAGAAGAATCACTTCCTTCAACCTGCTGGTCACACTTCTTTTGATGCAGTGACAATTTCTTCCAGTAAGTATGAAGACTAGGAGATTTGCCTGGAGCTATGTGACTAGAGAAGCCACCAGCATCTATGCTGACAATCTCATCTAAAATGTAAAAGAACATTAAGAAATAGCTCCTCAGGGGACCTCCAACCCAATGCCAGTCTAAGCCCAAGGTGCAAACACTGCATACAGGGGCTATGCTCCATCAGACAGAGACTGGACATGTCTTGCTCTCCTGGGTTCAGGGTACCAGTCTAAGCTGGCCTGAATGGGATGGAAGCCTGATTGGTGCATGAGGAGCTTGTCTATGTGGCAGCAATAAAATCCTAGCATAGAAATTGCTATTTTCTCAATATACCCATTGTGCTTAGTACACATACTTTAGATTTTATGTCACCGGGTGTTGTGATTCTGTTCTTGCAGCCATCTTACCCAGTTCCCTCAAGACATCCTGAAACAGGACACTGTTTATTATCCATATTATGCTAAACTCCCAGGAGAATAAAGCAGCAGTCTACCATGCAGGTATTACTTATTTCCAAAGAAAACACCATACAATTAAAAAAAAAAAATCAGAAAGAAAGAAGTATGCAGAAAGGGACACAACTTTTCATATAAACTGTCCTAATGCCTTGTTACTGATGACACAGTAACAGAAAGTGCATTTTAAGAAAATAAGATGTGAGACTTTTTATGGACAGATCAGTTACACTGCATTAAATGTACAGGAGGGAGTACAAGGGGTGAAGTCAGAGATATAGAAGGATTTGACAGTATATTTGTGAGGCTGGAAAATAAAAATGTGAATTTTGATAAGCAGAAATGGACACATTCACAGAAGATATTGAAGAAAGACAAAAAAAAAAAAAATCAGCTGGATAACTGCCTTTGAAAACGTGGCAGAATTCTGGTCCCACTAAAACCACTGATCCATTTCATCTGCCTTCAATAAGGCTCATATTAGAATCTGCAATTTTCACAATGCTTTGTGTGGTATTTGCTCTACAAGGAGAGACAGAAAGTGAGTTTGACCTATTTTTTGAAGAGCGCATAGTGTTTAATGATGACTAATCATATGATTTATGCAGCATTTCTGATGGCTGATTTCACACAGACATTGCTTTCCCTCTTTTGTTATGCTAGTCTCTTTTTCTTTAAAAACAAACAAATTAACTTTAGGTTATGCAAATAAGAAAGACATTTGTTACTTTGCTTTAATAAAGAAGAAAGCAAAACCTTATTGTAAGAGAAACAACATTATTTTGCGCTGCTGATGCTGTTCACTGCCTTGCAGTACATTCCAATTTGAATTAGTGGGAAGGTTTTGCCCACACTCCCAGAATAGGGTTAATTTTAAACAACTGCAGCTTGCAAAGTTTAACACATTCAAATAATTCAACAAATTCAAATTTAATTTGCTTAATTTAAAAAATATATTTAGAAATGTGCTTATCTACCAAGTATGAAAATATTATTCATATAATATCAAGGTAAGAAAGACATTTCAGAAAATAATCTAAATTTACTTTTTGAATAGAAACATTGTTGTCTTTTTCTATTTTGTGAAAACTTTTTCCTCTCAAAAGAGTCACATATGGACAATTTTCTCCTAAGCACTAATTTCAAAAAAACTTCAGGATTCTCAGGAGATCTGTGAGCTGTAGTTGAAACCTATTTGGACTAGAAAGAGTATCACATTCTACAAGCACACCAATTAGGATGAAAAAGGCCTTTACCAAGCATACTTCAGAAATGCTTCCTAACAGCTTCATCTGCTGCAAACAAAGCTAACACTGCCCAGTATACTCACCAAAAACTGTCCTGGCAGGTACAGATTCTCTGTTCAGCCAGAATGACACTTGAGAGAGAATCACAGTCATGATACAGGGCAGGTAAGTCTGAATGACAAAATAGCCAATTTTTCTCTTCAAGTGAAAATGAGCTGTCATTACTGTATATTCACCTAGGAGCCACAAGCAAACAAAATATAACGAAACAAAAGGTTATTATCTTAAGGAAGTCCATTTCTTTGGTAAAAAAAAGTTTGGCATGTTTATGTGAACTAAATGTGCTAGGGGTAAATTGCACAGAACATATTCTGTAGTAGAAAACATCCTGCAGAATATAAGAAAGTTTTGGAGCACAACCACATCTTATTCCTATTGAGCTCCAAGGAAGATCACTGTTCAGGAATTTACAGGAACTCTGCATGCCCTGACAAGAGCTTTAGTCTTGCAGGCTTCTGCACATGAACAACATTCTGTGCTCATGCAAAGGCACCCTGAGAACTTAATCTCAGTCAAAAGGCAATCATGGGGGTCCATCACAGCCTGATGCATGTAGGAACAGTCTAGAATCTGGTAGAATGTTTAATGCCAAAAACATGATGGAAGGGGAAAATAGCTGAAACTTGTATGCTTCACCATTTAGTAGACAAAAAGTGTTATTTATCACATGAAATTAAACAATTATCCTAGTCTTGAGTTAAAAACATTAGGATTCAAGGCTAAGCTCCAGATACAGCATTAAAAAAACAGTTACTGGGGACAAGATCACATTTGCTATCACCAGTTTACTTATTAACTTGAAAGAGTCAGTAAAGTGCTGCTATGTGTTATTTGTACCATACATTAATAGACTTTGCCTAGTATCTCACATTTTGCAAGTGTTTTTCAGGAGCCTTCCAACACCACCAGCAATGCCTATGTTCTTCATAGACAAGTGAGTGCCTTTTTTGTCAAAATTACTTTTACTAACCTGTACTAGATTTAACTGTCTCTTTTCCAATTGTTTGGCCTAAAAGATCATACTGATTCAATCTTGAGCCGTCTGGTGCCACCTGCACTGAATCTGAAGCATTATAAGTCCAAATGTATGTCACTTCTGAAGTTGTGTATGCATCTGTGGGAAATAAAATAAAATATTTTGTCAGAAATTTAAACAGTTTCTATCTAAACATATAGAATTAGAAGACCTACTTTCTTTTTTTTCTTAAAGAAAAAGAGTTGACACCATAAACCTACAATTATATGGGAAAAGTATGCTTTGACATTTAAAATAGCTTTACTGTAGGGTAAATGCCTATTGGAGCATGGGAACAGGGCACTCCTTTGTGATCTTATCAACCACAATTTACTAATTACTAAATTACAAACATATCTTCTACACTGTTAAAAGAACTTGTCAGAGATCAGGTATTATATGTATCCTGAAACTCGTGTAAACCGGATGAAAAAAGCATCACAGTGCAAGATTTAGAATGTACAACATTCCTATATTGTTCTGACTTTCTGTTGTCCCCACTCTCCACTTTGGGATTGTATCATAAGCATTTTAATATTAACTGAAATTCATACGTAAACATGGGAAGTCAGGTTCAGTGATAATGCCGTTAACAAACTTGTAATTGCTCTGTGCCTTTCCCTGTGTAGCCTCTTAAATTTCACCCTCTTAAATAGAATATTTTTGTGGGACACACTGACATTAAGCAGGCTGCTTACTCTCTCAGTACACGCATTTAGCCTAGGGTCTGTCAAAATAAACTAGAATGAAAGCAAATCAAAACTATATTTTAAATAGTTTATTTTAAACTAAATTTTAAATAAATGCCTCTCCCATAAGTAAAAAAGAAAATAATTGAGTATGTTTTGCTAGTTTTTCCAGTCTAACACCCTACTAACAAATGGAAAATAAAAGGAAAGTGGTAAACCACTGATGGATGAAACTTTGTGTTCAGTTTGATTGACTGAGTCAAGTACATTTTGAGTCCTATACCATAACTGTACTGCAGTGGGGAGAAAAAAAAAAAAAAGAAAAGGAAAGAAAGAAAGAAGCAGCAACATTTCACTTCTGTTGGGCTGCAAACATTTTTGCTTGAGAAATACCTGAAGGCCCAAGAAATGCAAGTACCCAGATGGGTACCAAATAAGGCTACATATAAGCTATTCTAAATGGACAGAAATAAGAGTTCCCTGAATGTCCTTTAAAATCACATTGCTTACAGCTTTAATTTTCCTTCTTACCAGAAAACCAGAAATCATGGGCACAGAACAAAGAACAAATTCGTAAGCAAAAAAGACCCAACCAAATAAGGCTACATATAAGTCCTTTTTCTTATCATACCTTATAAATCAAACATACTTTGCTGTGCACATACATATAAATAAGTATTAGCAGCTGATTTCAGCTAACATCCCTAGTGTTAGTTAAGCTGTATTATGTATTATACATAAAATATTTAGGGGTGGGTAATGCTCCATGATACAAATATTATTAGTTTTCTCTCTAGTGTGGAAGCATCATGAGAAACACAGGGTTGGTTTAATTTGCTTCAAACGCCAAGGAAAAGTATGCCAGGGTTATGGGAGGGAGTGTGCATAGCTCCCTGACAATGTTCACCTGATTAATGCTGTCCTTAGTGGCAGCTTACCACCTGTTTTGTAACCTGTGGTGTAAAATGAGCCTGAATTTAAAGGTAGTAACTGGTTTCCTCAAAAAAACATTCTCTTTCCTGGGCCCAGCAGAGCATGTAGACTGCAGGCAAAGAAAAAAAGAAAACCTTTCAGTGTACAAAATCCAGGACATAAAAATAATATGATTCTAGTTCATGAAGAAGAAGAAAGGCTGTAGTATAGGTAAGTGGAGTTAGGCTGCTGTTGAAGTAATACTACTGAGATCAAAGTTCACCTGTTTATAACATGCAGATGTGCTAAGAAGTGAAACATTTCAACACAAGAAGCCTTCATTGACAAAGAATGTAAAAACAAATCTCACTAATAATATAGAGAAAGTAAGTGTTTAAATAAATGAAAAAAAAAACCCAACCCATTATTTGAAGTCTTTAATCTGCTCTTCATTAATACTTCATGGGCTACATGTACCCAGGTCTGCATTCATCAGTATGGTTTCAACACTGTAATAAAATGCTGAACTAGGTGTATAGTGCTTATTGTTAACTGGAGTCAATAAAGTTTTAAAATACATTAGAAGATACCACAAAAAGAGATTTTGATATATCAGGTTACAAACCTTTTAAAAAGAACCATTCTGTGTTTAAACCTCTCATGTAACAACTTGCTGAAACAAAGTGATGGTGGGCAATGTTAGGTATTCACTAATCTAGGCTAAACTTATTATATACTTACAGCTGCCAAATTTCAGTGGGCATGAGTGGGCATCCATAGGGAAATCCTCCAAGTGCATTGGACATTCAGCTTGGACTGTAAGCCTAAAAGCGGTATGCATTTAAGTCAGTTAACAGTACAAGAAAATCACTTCAACAAAAATGAACAGAGTTCATGCTGTTTTAGGAGATGAAATTGAAATGTTACATTAAACTAATTAAAATTTAAATCAGCTCTTGCTTCTTCCCTTTTATGTGTTCCTTTGGAAGGCATTGACTTATCACATCAAAAGCTTGAAAGAACTGACCTCAAAACTATGAGCAAAGGCCATTTAAATGAAAATATAAGTTATGTAACCATGTAACTGCAGGTTGTTAAGAACAGTCATTTTCTTCTCATAATATTCTGAGGTACATGTGTGATTATATGGCTCTCAAAGGCTCATTACAAAAGCACATAAATACAGTTAATTTGCCAAAGGACTATGCTCCATAGTTTCCTGGGTCTTTCTTTTTCTGTTTGAATTGAAGATGTGGAAGACATAGACAAAACCCCATTTGTGTTCTTTGAAAAGATTGCCGATATTACTCACTCTCTATGTTACTTGCTATTATTATTTTTATGTACATATAATCATGACAATATGTTAACAATTCATTCACTTTTGCTTCTTTTGTGAAAAAAAAATCCTACCAATATTCCAGTATCAAATATAGGGATTAAAAAAAAAAAAAAATCAAAAGTTTGAAGAAGGATTTTGATGGACTTTTCTTTCTTGTTATTTTTAAAACAAACAAACAAACAATACAAAACTCTATTTCTCCTTCCTATCTTTCAAGTCTTCTCTGGTTAGAGATTTTTTTTTGGATGTCTTCATTCCTCTTCATCCAGCCTCAAAAGTCAGCTACATCCTCCTGTACTCCCAGTGGTTCACAGTCATTGTATTCCCCACCCTTCTATCTCAAAATATTACATATTACTATTCCCCCACTCCACAGAAAAGTGAAGTCAAGGGGCAGAGAGAGAGATGAGTCAGCAAACAGCTGAAGGTGAAAGAACTGCATGAGCCCCTGATATAAATCACACTAAGATTTTAAATATACAGATAAAAATGGCTGTTGAAAATCTAGACAACGAAAACAGTTTACACATTAATCTCATACCCTCAGAAGCAACATACTTAAAAGTCAGGAAAAAGCTTAGTTAATTCTTTTGTTTTCTAAAAAAATCTTCATAATGCTTTCAAACAGTATTTCTTATTATTTATAGCATATGATTACAATGCCTTCTGGAGGAAGAGAATTTCAGTCAATTTATACAAATACAAGTGCAAATATTGATTTGAGCCCAAGCAAAAATACTATAAATGGGGGTCTCTATTTCCAGCAAACCTTTCTGAACCTCTCCAACCACCACATCATTCAACATTATTACCAGTCTACCCATCAACACCCAATACTATAAGTGTGTTGTGTAGTAAATCAGGGTTAAGAGATGCTGGTATTGCTGCATGGAAAAAAAAGCACAGTACATGCTTGCTTTACAGCTCACATTTTATATTTTCCTTAGCCTGGGAATTTTAAGTCTATACTTGCAACAAATTCAATTTATTAAATATTTTCAAAAATAAAAAAAAAGAAGAAACTAATCAGATGCTTCTGGAAGTTTGGATAAGAATTTTCCAGAAAACTCATATAGGTAACATTATTGCAGAAAGAATAATCAAAGAAGAAATCAGTCTTATGCAACTTTACCATCTAAATGTTTATCTTAGCTGCTAATCATACGCAGGATGCAAAAAATGAAACTCTAAGTAAAATATTGTAATTAGATATAAAGAAAGATTTATTACAGAGTAAAACATTTTCCCTGCAGCTCTTGCTGGAAAGAATTTGAGGCCTTATTAACCCTTTCTTCTTCCTCTTTATTTTTTTATTGCCACTGATCTTAATAGTAAATTTGCTTAAGGACTCACGCGTTTGGTACAATGGGTGCAGTAGCAGGCAATTAACATATACTATTTTAATTGTTCTGAGATGGAGTTGGTAAACTTTGAGTATTCTTAACAGTTCTTACACACTGATTTCACCTGAAGGTCTCAAACCATTTTATGTAGGTGATCAGTATCTTTTAATACGTTATAGAGGCATGAAATCTGAGAAACATGTAGGAAAACTGACTCAACTCATAATCAGCCAACAGATTTGTAACAAAACTAGAAACAAAATGTGTTTTCCTAGCTTTCTTTCTGCTGGGACAGAAATGAAACAAAGGAGAGTACTACTGCAACCAAGTTGTTATCTTGAAAAATTACATCAAAAAATAGCTTAGGTAGAGAATAGACAAAAAGACTTACCTCATGGTGTACAAGAGAGTCCCATCATCTTGGATTCGTAGAAGCTTGTTTGGCATTGTCATGTTATGAGCCACTGACTTCTTCCCATTGTGGAAAAATGTATCTGGAGTCCAGATTTTGCTGGCCATTAAGTTGTTTAATCGAAGAATGTTCATCGGGCCCTTAAACTTTAATCTCTCATCCTTCCATCTCTGACGGAAGAAAACATCTATTGTGTATTCCTGTAACGGAATAAAGATATGCTTGGTTTTGATGCTACAAAACATCAATCTGCTTTTTGAAGGCCAAAGTAGAAAAGCTCTGCTTGGAAAAATTCCTTTGGTAAAATTGTCAAGGGAGAATAACCATCAGACAAAATTGTATAATTCTGAGAATAACAAATAGGAAGTCAATTATTAAAGGTATAACATTCTTCTTCATGATTACTAGCTGTTGTTTCTACATTGCTCCATTCCTATCTTTAATTTATGTACCTGATGCAGACAGTATGTATGACAAGGGTAATTTAAAGAACACAGCTATTTTACATTAAGAGGTAAGAAAAAAATACACAGAAGAATATTGAACAGAAGAGTATTAAATAGTTCCTGCAGCAGATGCACCTGAAGGAGAATAACCCAGCATTTCAAGAGCACAGGAGAATGGCTGAGACGGGAAGGAAGGAAACAAGGCTACGCATATAGGGCACAATATATTGAAGCAGAGCGATATAAGGAAGATTTTTCCAAACAGGAAAGTAAGGCTCTGCAGTGGTATGGATTTTATTAATAGGAGTAGATAAGTAGGGAACAATTGCTGATGATTAACAGGTGACACTGTCCGCTGAACTTTACTCTGATGCCTTATATTGGGAAGGAAGCACAGTCTGGAGAAAAGGATGTAAGCAGAAACAGACTGATGACCTAGACCAGATGCAGGGTATCCCATCTGCTGGATTTTGTAGCTTTTCTAAATATACAAGAAAAAAAAAAAGACACTGTTTAAACACTGATAATATAAATTCATCAACTAACTTCAAATTGGACCTGAAAATGCATTAGTGGTTTGCTACTGTCAGCACAGAATATGAATTGAAAATGGAAGAGTTTACAAACTTCATTGGAAGCAAACTGCATCTGCGTATTGGCAAATGCAACCTTGATGCAATTTCAGTTTTGTTGCACAGGTGCAAAATGGACCCACTGTTTCAAAATATTAGTATGCTACAGCAGTCTGTAGTATTGCAATCACACTGTAAATGCTACAGTTTACACAAACCATTTTTGAGTAAATTATCTTTGAATGAAAAAGTCCTGATAAAAGTCAAACAATACAAAATAATCAAGTGATTTCAAGGAACTTATCAGTGCCCATCACTTTCTGCTGGCTCCCTTGTGTGCTGATTAACAAGGCTTAAGTTCTTTCTCAGTAAATCATATGGCGGTATAAAAGGAGTGCTGCATAGACAGTGAGAGGCGACAGCCCTTTTCGGCTCCTTTGGTCTGTGAGCCAAGGAGCTGTGAGTTGCATTTTCCAGGTCAGGGCCAGGGGCTAAGATGAGCATACGGAATAAAGAAAAGAGAATCCTGATACCTGAAGGAGCATGGCAGGGAAGGAGAGAAAGCAGTTGTCATTAGGAACTGTGACAGGTGCTTGGGGACATCTTTCTGGAATGATGTAATGGGATACTTATAAACTAATCTGACAAAACTACAAGCACAATTTTTAGCCATTATCAAGTGGTCTCACATTACTACAATACAATTTTCAATTTTTATAATTAAAGTTATAGTTAAACAAATAAAGCTAACACTACAATACACTGAAAACTATTTTGCTTGAATTTCTTTAATGCTAGTTACTATTACCTCTAATAATATTTTAGCAAATATATCTGTGAAATACAAAGTTATGACTTCTAAAACATTAATTTCTTTGACATTATACTTGATCTTTTACTGTCTCTCATCACTGCCAGAGACACTGCCTCATGACAAATAGTTTGCCATTTTTCTACGATAGATCACATTCAAGTATTCTGTTTTATTTGCTGATTTATATGTTGGTTTATTTGCTAAATATCATGTGACTTAAAATCACATTTACAAATTCCAGGTTATCTATCAATTTAGTTGTAAACCATGGAAAGCCAAAAAATGCATAAAATCATGGAGGATTAGGAGTAGAAGGAACAGTGTGCTTGAAGCAGGGGGAATATATTAAATCTAGCTAGAAATACCAGGTAATTCAAGGAAAACAATTGTACTGAAACCCTCCTTGTTGTTTCTGTCTGGGGGGCTTTGCCAAAAAATCATTGCTATATATGATAAGATTGATGTTTGAGGTATAAAGAAGTGGAAAGACGAGCCTGAGGGAGTAAGACTTTGAAATGCCACTGAAATTCAATAGAAGTGAGTGGCAAGTCCTACCAGCTCCTTTGACAAATACCCCCGTATATAAATGATTAGAATATAAATCTTAAGTTTTGGTAATGTTTCCATCAATAAAGAATTTCAAAGGTTCCACTTCTCCACTGTCTTCCGCCATATATAAAAAGAATTAAAGGACATATAAAACAGGGAAAAAGAAAGGCAAACATGAAATGCCACTAAATCAAAACAACATTTCAAAAAACCACATCTAATGCATGGCAACTGCTTAGGAAGTGGAATAAGCAGGAGAGAATCTGAACTACAGCCTTGAATGATCCCACTGATAAATCTCTGACTGATTCACAGGTAATTCTAATCTCTCCATCCAATCCATGTTGGAAATCTTTGTTTGCTGAATAACCCATTTAGAAGATGGAAGCACAGAATAAACCAAGGTTTGGTGTGAACAAACACCTTCTCCTCCTATTTACCATAATAGCAATAAAATCTCACCTAGTTCTAAAATAACTTATCTTTCTATAAACCTCAGTACATTTTTCAAAGAAAGTACTGGGAACTCAATTTTGTATGAAGAGAAACCAAGGCACAGAGATGAAATTAACTTCTCCCAGTCCATTTATTGAGTGTTTATGAAAAGCAGAATACAATGTATGCCTTCTGCATCCCAGCACAATATTAATCAATCCCATGTCCCCTTCAGAACCAAATCTATTCTGCTTATGATCATCAATATCTTTACGATGATTAACGTACAAAACAAATTAAAACACAGGCAACTATTAAAGTATTTTGAATAAAACTGATGTGATAAAAGGCCAGCATTTATCAAAAGATGATACATAAAGGTTTTATAACTGTTTCCTATTCCATACATGTACTACTTTGTGGCAAATGCTGTGTAATGTTTACTTTCCAAGAAATGCTAACATTGCATCAGAAACAAATCTGGACTCTAGGAAAAAAAAAACTCAATTTAATACCTGATACTCATTTCATGCAATCTGCAGATATTTTCCTATATGAAAAAAAATCTGTGCTGTTACTGGAAATTACCCACCACTCACTCAGTATATAGTACAGTACCTCTACAAAATCACAAGAGCATACTTTCTGGGCTATAAAGGACTCCTGTGATCATTTCTAAACAAGTGAATGCTTCCTACTGATTTGTGCCTCAAAAGGTACTTTCACAGCTGGACTGGAACACAGTACACAATCTTTGAAGTATGTTTTGCAACAGCTTACATTCCACACCAGAGCACATCATGCCCTGTATATAAACTGGGGAGAGTTACCCAGAAGGGACCAATTGCTGCTCAGGTTGGGCTGGGTATCATCTGGTAGGTAGTGACAAATTGCATTGTGAATTACTTGTGTTTTCTGAGCTTTCATTACTTCTCTTGTTGCTTCATATTAGTATTAGTATTATCGGTATTCTTTTTATTATCACTATATGTTGCTTTATTTTAGTTATTGGACTGTTCTTATCTCAACCTGTGGAGTTTACATTCTTTTGATTCTCCTCCCCATACCACCCTGGGAAAAGGGGGGAAGGAGGTGGATGAGTGAACAGCTGCATGGTGCTGAGTTACCGGCTCGGTCTAAACCATGACAACAGTAAAAAAAAGATACTAGTATCTCTGGGAAAAGATTTCACTGACCCAAGTATAAGCAATCCCTCTCACTACATGGCCATTTTCTTTTTTTGTTAAGGCCAGATTTGGATGGGAAAAGTTCAAACAACAAAAAATGTACTCTCATCCTCTCATAATGGTTGGCAGATTTTGGCAGTTTTTTCCATCTGGAGTAAAGATGAAAGTGTTCCAAACATCTCAAAAATTGCTAGTGTCCATTATCAAGCAGTACTGTTTTCGGAGCAGACTGAACATTTTATTAAGCACCCTCTGGAACACAGCATTTTGTTAAGTAAATGGTTCTGGCCAAGGTTCCTCATTCCCTACTTGTAAAGATTTTACTCAGTCAGTTCTCTAAAGAAAGTCTGGCTTTTACTTTAACCACTATTAAACTGACACACATATATAACAATGCAAGCAAATTTTAAGTCTTTTAAAATATGAAATTTTAAAAAGGCAAATACAAAAAAAAAAAAGTAAAAAGGGTAAATGGCACACATATCTTTTTATTGATTCCTCCAAGACAGTCAGAAATACTGTGGTTTATACATTGACAAGATAAATGCATAAGATTCATGGACCTAAATCTCACATACAAATATAAGGGCTTCATATTAATATTTATTTTTACACTAGTATGATTCCTTAATTTTAGTTTTTAAAAAGATCATTCTTGGTATCGTATCTACCTTAAGGCAATGAGTAACTTTTCTTTCAATTTAGCTTAAAAACATGAATAATATTAATATACAAGTAGTACTGCTGAATATTAACATGGTTGAGTATGCAAGTATCAAAACTATTTCCAAGAAAACCAAGAATGAGTTTTATACAGGAGACTCAAAAAAATGCAGCTCTTCAATCCAAAATAATATGCCAAGTATATGCATTCTTGTTATCATCTGGTATTTGTAGGTTTGATGAGTGCAAGTTTGTGACTGAACTTCTGCAAACTGATTTACTAAACTTCCTTACTAAGTACTTGGATTCTATCTTTTGAGTGAATGATGAAATTAGCTTTACAGTGTGAGGATCAAATAATTGGTTTCTTATCTTGGTCATTTCATTCTCTGTGGAATAGATTTATGCATGGTGTAAATGGCATACGCAAGGGCTAACACACTACAACAGTCTGCAAAACCCCATAATTCTTGAAGTACACTACTTGGCTTTACCTTGGCCTGTCCACCATATTGGACAAACAGTGTTTCTGAT